CTTTTTCCTCCCTTCTGGCTTGCTGTGTCATCCGGAAAGTACGTGACTTAACTTTTATTACATTATTCTGACAATTCATAAGTTTCACTATAGGTGTAGTTGCACTTTTAGGTTATATACGAGCCTTATCTAACTTAGCCACCAGGAGACACAGTGTTGCTTCAGGTTTTCCACCTGGCGTCAAATTACAGGCTTCAATGGGGTTTTATGTGATAGACCCCATTGCTGGGAAGTGGAAGGAAACAGATACTATTTAAATCTGAAAAGTATGATATGACTTTGCATTTTCTGAGTCAATATTTTACTGGAGTTCTTTTCTGAAGCTATGTCTAACTTTTCACATCTAGAAACTAATATTTTTCCTCATTCTTCTTATTAGCGCATGTAACTACCATCTTTTCAAGCTTTGGATTCTCACTTGATCTCTGACAGGCCATTCTAGCACATCAGCATGCTTTAATAATTGCACTGAAAATTTTGGCAATTTTTAGGTGAACCTCCATCCAAGTCTCCAGTGTTGCAGGTTTTACAGGTCTTTTATTTCAGGAACTCCCTAAATTTAACTCCACCTTCCTGTTAATTCTGACCTGCTTATGTGTCACTACTGAAGTCAAGCTTCTCCACGTCATGATGCTTCCACCACATCAAGAATGTTTCATCATACATTGCCAAAAATTGTAATGTGATTTATTTCCTCCTCATAATCATGTGACACTTTGTGTTTGTCTTTAAAACAAATCTTAATTGAATGCATTAAGATGTGTGGTTGTAGCTTTAAAAGCCGGCTCGGGTTTAATGGGCATAAATACTTTTGCAAGGCTGTGTTGCCCGCAAAGGCACACATATCCCCGATGCTCGACCCCCTTTAACATCTTTCCTTCTGCTTCTCCATTTTTGTCCTGTGCCTCCAAGCAAACCTTATTCTGAGCTCTTTCCTTGTAGACAGTGCCAGATATGTGTCCACGCTTGGTTGGCCATATCCAAACAGGTTAAAAATAACTATCGAAGTTTTATCCTCATGTCCTGAGAGCTCTACTCTCTTCTCACACTGGAGGAACCCTGGGAAAAGAATCTTTCCCTTACGCACACGGCACTCATAACACCAGACGCGGTTCTGCATAAAACATCCAAGCAAATGCATCTGTTTGCAAGCTCCGTTCAAACACACAGAACATACAGAATAAAACTTAAGAGGCTCCCACTTAAAGGTCGTAGTCCTGAAATAATAGGAACAGTGGCTATGTTTGCAGTGAAACATAACCTGCACTGTGGGAATGCAAAGTACTTTCCTACTGCTGCATAAGTATGGGAAAATTGCTGAAACAACAAAATGGGATGGAAGTCATGGAGGGATGAAAAAGTGGAAAGAACAAGAAAACAAGCAAACCAGAGAAACACGTTAGGAGGAAATAAAATGAAAGGATAAAGCTTTTTCTCCTGGAGAAGTGCAGAGAGAGGCACTCTCAGAGGAAATGAAAGCGTAGATGTCGTTTTAGGCACAGAAAAATCACTGTTAGGAAGTGTTAATGCGGACCAATGTCTGGGAGTTGGGGAGAAATCTGGGGGCCGGTGGGTCAGACACGGCTGACACACTCGGATCAGCAATGGGATTGTTTCCACTGGAAAGAATTCCGGGAATGAGCCAGAAGAGCTATCAGTGACTTCACTCAGAGGACAGCAGTTTTTTTATACACAGCCAGCCGGCCGCGCAGCTCTCTCACACTTTTAAAGATACTGCATCTCATGCCAACAACGGTGTGTCAGACACTCTCCGTCACTCCCTCGTGTCACTATGCTACAGCCAAGAAGTGTGGTCACACCTCGTACCAGCAGCTGAAACGTTTGCGGGGAATTAAGAGCATAGAAATTACAATAGGAAGTTCCAATGCCTTCAGAACATATACATGCTCAAAGAATGGAAAATATCCACTTAGTAGAGAGCACTGGGTGAAGCACATAGGTAGCTTACAAAGAATGATAATCATATATATATATATATATATATATATATATATATATATATATATATATATATATATATATATATATATATTATATATATATATATATATATATATATATATATATATATATATATATATATATATATAATTTTGTTTTTATTTAAAATTGAGGTATATTTTATTTCTCCTGGAACATCTTTATGTTTTGTCACTTTACGACCACAAACATCAATATCTTTTTATTAGGACTTTGTGTGACAGACCAACGCAAAGTGCAGCATAATTGGAATGTCAAGGAAAAACTATACATAGTTTGATGACTAGAAATCAAAGAAATCTGGTATGCCTTTGTTTTCAGGCCCCTTTATTTGAACAACCTGAAATAAAATCTTGTACAAACAGTAGCCTTAATAAGTTTAAGGTTCACACATTTAAGCGTTCGAGTTACGATTTTTGCTTTTAAACCACAAACTTCTCAGGTGTAAAATATTTGTAAAAAGATGGGCCAAATTTCTTGTTTCAGTTCTATGTAGAACTGCAAAAAAAAAACCACACAAAAAAACCCCCTTTAATTACAGAGATATCTTTATAACTTAATAAGCTGGATGAAGAATCAATAGTGAAGATAAGAGCTATTCAAAGTAGCAAAATGCTGCAGTACATTACTGGAGGGCCTCTTTTCATATCTTCTTAACCTCTAAGACACAGGACCTTTCTTTATTAAAACTGAAGGATATTGCTGTCTCCAGCAATATCTAAAAGACACTGTGAAGTTCAGAGGTCTCTCACTGACGTCACATCATTGCGTAGCATGGTGCAAGTTCAGACTGAGTCTCCAAGGACTGTACCTCTTCTTGTGATTTCTTTTTTCCGTGATCTCATTACTTTTTCCACTGAGATCAACCAACACTCATTATTGAAGTCACAAAAGCTGTTTATTACAGCATTCTGAACCAGACGTTGCTCTTTACGCCGGACACACAACATTTTCGTCAGCTTTTTTTTTTTTCTCTCTTGATATTCATAACTCTCCCATTCCCGTTTTTCCCCAAGGAGAAGGAAGCAGCATAGAGATGGTTCTCACTGTTTCCCTTTCCAGGAGATCATCGGAGATCCTGCGGCACATTGGCCAGTGTCCGGTCTCAGCTCCAGCAGCTTTTCACGGCAGCTCTGACTGGCTTTTCCACAAGTGCCAGATAATCAGTAGTGACCTGGGAGGGTTATGTTTCAGCATGTCCCCTTGTAAATTTCCTGTCTAGTTTCCTTGACTGACTGATTAGAACGTTATTTCCATAAATTTCTTTCTGGCAGGTACTGGGCAATTAATTGGATTTGAGATAATTATGTTAAAAAAAATTTAATTTATCATTTAGATTCAGTGAGTGGTGTATTTCAACAATCTATTGCTATTGATTCAATTTCTTACATTATCATACTATGCAAGATCAATTCAAAAAGGGGATTTTTATACAGAAATATAAGCCTCTGGAAAGGTGGGTTTATGTACAATATATGCACTCTGCAGTCTGTGGTTATTGTTGCTTCATTGCAGCCTGCTGTAGCATGGATAGGCATTGGTTAGGTGTTAAGGAAGCCCAGGGTGCCTTTCAACCAGTCTGCATGGCTGGTGCTGTTGTCGCTTTTCATCCTCCTGACAATCCTCTGTAGATTTTCTACAAAGTTAAAATCAGGTGAGATTTCTGGTTGATCAAATATAGTGATGCCATGGTCATTAACCTGGGCATTAATACCTTTCACAGTGTGAGTTGCTGCCTAAGGCCCGCTGGAAAACTAATTAAGACACTTCAGGAATGGGTTAACACAATGAATGCAACATTTTTAGCCCATTTGTCCTGGATGTGTCTTTGTGTTGTGGCTCTTTAATCCACAACACTGCAGTCTACACCCAATAAATTTCCTGGAGATGAACAAGCTTTAATCGCAATCCTCTCAATGCTGTAATTTTTTCTGCTGCTTTGGCTAGCTTTTCCTTCTACTTAACTTTTCAATGTGCTTGGGATACGGCACAGTAAACACCCAGCTTTTTTTTTTTTTCTTAGATTTTCTGGATTACCCTGAGGAAAGGATAACATTCAGGAAAAGGCCTGCTGAAGTTTCAGGTCAACTCTCTTCTCCATGAATGCGTTTGGCATTAAAAAAAAACAAAACCTTTATAACTTTTGTACCCAGTTTTACGCAACATTTTTTCTGAGCTACTTAAGTTTTACATTCCGGTCGGTATTCCTAAGCTAATGAATGTGAAGATGGATCACAATATTCTGAAATTTAGCAAGGAGAAAAAAAAAAGATAAAATCAACTCAACTGACCGCAGACATTAACCATTTAGTTTAAATGTCCAACATGGAATAGAAGAAAAAAAAAAAAAGCATACACATCTTTATGCAAAGCAGAAACATCTGGCCTCAACTTTAACAGGCTGAACTTTAGTCAAACTTCTGATGCTAGTATCCTTGTATTTGAATCTTTCATGATGCACCTGTGACAGACCAGAGTTGTTGCTTCCACAAGTTTAATGCATATTTGTTTCAAGGATATCCCCCTTGAGAAGTATCCAGTACTGTTAATCTTTGTGTACCTGCAAAAGCTTTCATGAGGGTTTGTACCGTTCGCCCCCACAGACTGCTAAAGCTTCCCTCCATCAAACAGCTGCCAGAGCTTAATGTAAAACTGAAAGCGGTTCCGAGTTCAGGAATGAGATTTTGCAGCAAGTAGGAGAAAGACTGTGTGCAAACTGAAGACAGGAAGTAGCATGTGGCTGCTCTCGCTTCTATATATATACTTATACGCTTGATGCATCTGTTTTCATAGATGGAGAGAGAGACGTTCTCAGTGTGAAAGATGCCAAGCAGGAAGCAAGACTGCTTTCCTCCAACCACTGCAGGTAAGGTGAGTGGGGGTAAAGCTGAGTGTGTGGGGGTTTACAAGAGGAAAATTACACGGCGCTACTGGAAACTGCTTCGAATGCAGAGGATTACCCAGTTTCAGAAAAGACCAAGTAAAAAGACTCAAAAGTGTATAGCAAATTCAATTTCTTTATTTACAATATTTGGAATAATTAATGAGAAAAGTGGTCTAGATACAAAAAGAAAAAAAAAAAAAGAGAAAATAACACCAAGGATAAGATGGCGGCTAATCTCCCTGAGCTTACAAAGACAATGCGGGGACCTGTAGGAGACGTGACATGACAAAGATGTTCTGTATACAGCCCTAATGCCACTCACATGAGAAAGATTGAAGAGACAAACATTAGTCATGCTTCCTCAACAGTAACATCACTCTCCACAAAAAAAATAAAATAAAATCTTTTCCTCTAACCTGGTTTTAACTGCAAACTTATGACTCCTGGAAAACAAGTCATTTGTAAATTACAGCCACACACACACGAACACGGACAGAAACTTCCAAACACCTTCTGGTAAATAGTCATAACAGTGAATGAAAAGTACTGCTTCAGGTATTGCCAAATTTTTATGTGAATCAGAACAGTATGGCATCAAAAGTATGGCTGCTTTTAAAAAGAGGAAGACTAGAAAAGACGGCAAAGTTATCACACCACCAAGCATCTGTTTGGCTTACTAAGAACATGTATTTGCACATCCTTCATTGGCTCTGTACATTGATCTATCAAGTGCTCGCACCCCTTCCCACAAAAAAAAAAAAAACAAAACAACAAAAAAACTCCTCCATGAACATTTTTGCTTTGTCATCCAAGCTCTGCTTCTTGGAGGCCAATATGACAGATTTAATAGCATAACTCTGGTTTCAGTGCACACCAAGCCTGCAAAGCAAATCAGTTACACCTTTCATCTTTCGATTTTCTTTAATTTACCAACAAATAAGTTTACAAAGGTAAATCGTAGGCAAATCCTGTGCAGAAAAAACAAACCAATTCACTTTTTTTTTCCTTTTCACAATACATCCACTTCTCAAGGACGACCAACATTCACATCAAGGACACAAATCTATAGACAGCAGTGGCAATAATAATCATAGCAATAATAAAAACAGTGCACTGCACAATAACTTCCCACAGGTACCACAATTGCTCTGCACACGGGTATAAAGACTCTGGGGTCATGATGCCGGCCATTTGGGAGTCAGAGCAGCAGGGTCACTTGGGTTTCTTCATAAAGCACTAACCTGCTGCTCTTGAGCAGGGCATCAGCTTTGACTTTACAAGTGTTGATGGACACGCGAGGAAGTAGGCGAGGGATAGAGACTTTATCCACCATTTTGGTGATGTTTCCACGCAGAATGAAGGTATTCTGTGTACTAAGCAGTGAGTTGTTTTTTTTGCTTATTTTATTTTTTGTTTTAGTTTTGATGGCTGTGTGCGTTTGTTATGGGTAAAGGGATAGCATCACGAGACACTGGACGTGTCAGTTGAATGTGCTGGAGTGCTCCAGTGAAGTGTGACCAGTGTGTGAAAAATACTGTCCCTCAGAACCAAAGAGCAAAGTGAACATGGTGCTGAACCACCCAGCCTCTAGTGCTGGGAATTCTGTGCTGGCTGTCCATTTTGCATGCTGCAATCGTTTTGCTCCTCTTCATCCTCTTCCTCCTTCTGGCTCAAAAGAAACTCCTCTGGAGGCCAGCGAAGCTCTCCGCTCTCCACTTCTCCTTCTGTCGGCTCAACCACGATGGACGGGAGGCGATCTTTAAGCTTACAGCAGCGGTCGAAATCTGAGGGGTCCGGAAATATCTGGAAAGGAACGGCACTGAGTATTAATCGTTTACCAAGGATGGAGTTTACTCAAGTAAGACATCTGGTATTTAGAATACAAGTCAGTTCTACTTCAGCTACAAGACCATCGCTTATGGTATCAAGAGATGGTCATCATTTTCGATCAGCACTAATTGTCCTTTCATGGCAAAACTAGAAGCACTATGAGCAGCTGCAGAGGTCTAAATATCTGAGAGTTGACTAAACATCTGATGAGAACTGATTACAAATTTGTACCTGCTCTTGCCCATCCCACATTCCTTAAGGTAATGTAATCTTGCTTTCCTCATACTTGAGCAATTTGTTTTTGCATGGAAGAATAAGTCTTGTCAGTGCCATGCAACCTCATAGTGAAAGGTCTCTACACTGGTAAATAGCCCAGAGTACATTTTGTGCAATACAGAATGTCTTCTTTTTATATAAAAAGAAGAAAAGGCAAAAAAGTAGAGATGGAGAGATTAGCTGACTGGAAACTCAAATCAGATTTTTGTTTAAACCAGTAAATGCACACTAATTAAGTCAGGTGGTGCAAATGTTCTTCAGTGGTTAAGTGGTTACTGAAGGGAACCATTTTCAGTGTGAATTGGGGATTTGAAGAGTAGAGCAGAAGAAGGCCAAATGGTACAAGAAGCCACTTAGAATTCATCTGAATTAGTAGTCTGAATGAACAGCCAACGTGACTTGATGTTTTCTTTTCCAAGGGAAAACCTACATGAAAACTATAGACTTATAAACCAACTTTAAACAGACAATAACAATTTTCTTTATCCACCTCCATCTGCTGTATGTGAAATGATTAAATCTCAGTAAATCTCATCTAGGTGAAGAAGGTTCCTCACAAGCACTCTCTTCATCAGAGAGTCATAATGAGTTACATTTAAAAAGAGTCGACTGGTTCAAAGAGGAATCGGAACCAAAACAATTCTCGTTATGTAGAAGTGGAATAAAATTAAATCATGCAATATTCTTGAGGGGAAGAAAATAGTGAAAGCTGGTAAAAAAAAAAAAAAAAAAAAAAAAAATCTGATTGTTGCATCTCAACAGAAGGTTAAAAACATTTTGTGAACTGAAGGACTTTCTATCTTCTAAACTTAGTAAGCTAAATGGAAAAGCTTGAAGCTGAAACGAAGTGCATAAAAATTGGTTTGACAAGCTACATAATCCTCTGCTCAACCTCCAACTTTCTCAGGAACAGGAGAAATAGCTCTGGGGAGGGGACAGCCTGCCACTCCTGGTCCAAGAACAGCCTTTTTTTTTTGCTGTTTGGATAAAGTAGATTAATATTTTTAGACCTGCATATTTCACTCTAAGTCACAGGGGTTGAGTTTGAGGAAAGGGGGGTCGGGTTGAGGGGGGGGGCAATGTCGCTGTCTGGGCACAGAGCCGAGTGGAAAGAAAGCATTCTGAGAGCCAGAGTGAGACAAGAGATAAAGAGATCCAGCTGTGTCTGACTCTTCCTGAATTCCTTAAGAAACTAGGAGCAAAAACAAATGGAAAGCTATAAATATGCTCCACAATTTAGCTCTTCTCAGGTAATTTAAGGTTGTGTGTTCTCATCAGCAGCACTCTAGGTTACCAAACAAGTTCACAGCAAGCTGTAATTATACATGGAATCAAGTCTTGATGGGTAAATTAAGGGAATATCTGCTTTTTTTTTGTCCTGCATCATCGATGCTTGATGTGCATCAGCTGCAGAGAGTCGGGACAAAGTCTGACTTTGCTTTTGGTTGAGTTAGCAAACGCATAAAAGACAATTTCTTTTCCAAGGGAAGGGGCTAGGGCCTCTGAATCATGCCGTCGCCTTTTGAGAGGATAACTGCGGCACCGATTTTCATCTAATTTAATTTCCTCTTGAAGGAATGGGCGACATTCACTTTAATAAACTTCTGCAAGAGCATCTGGAATATCATGCTCATGTCATTCAATTTGTTGTCAGATTGAGGAAATGACTAGTGAAACCAACCCGGCTTTAAAGAGAGCTTCTCTAAGGAAAGCCTGAGACTTTGGGCAAATGGCCGAGATGGTAAATTCACAGTGGAGAAGGCAGAGCAGAGGCAAACTGGTGGTACTTTTCTGCTGGCATCTTCTCCTTCCGTTTCTCTCAGACTCACAGCTGGGGTGTAAACTGAAGAGTCATAGGAAGCGAGGCTCTTCCTCTGGGTCAGTCTACATCCTTTCTGCATGCATCTTGAGCATGCAGCTGCTTACAGATTTAAATGTCTGAACCAACAGCTCTAAATATTAAATTAACATGCGAGATCTCCTTAAAATGTCAGCCACGTTCCCAAAAATCTGGAACTTATCACCAGCCACAAATATGACTTTACTATACGACTGCAGCTACTGCAGCAAAGCAGCCATTTTTAAACATGATTATAGAATATCAAAATGAGCCCAGAAATAAAAATGTTTAAGAAGCTACTCATAAGAAAACAATTTACTTCAGATATGTCAGCTATTCTCCTTCACACAGCAACAGAGAACCTGATTTCAGTAGCTGCATGTACTTTGCAATTGCAGTCATTACGTAGAGTCCTGTTCAACGCAACGTTTGGGTAAAAAAGTGAGCCGTTTTGCCACCTGAGGTCAAATAATACCCGCCTTGGGAATATTTCAAACTCGTAAAAGGTTGTTGTAAATTCGGCAGATAATAGAAGGCTAAACATTTGAGTAATACTCATACATATCCATGAAGACATTGCCATTTACATGACCAGATTGACACAAGTAGCATAACAAGCTAGCGCCACTTTGAAATGTCCACTCCCTTAGTTTTAAATTAGTAAAGCTCCAATTTTAAAGCATTTGCTCAGATTGTGTCATGCTTGCTCTGCTCCTACTCCAATAGTCACTGATCATGACTAGAGAAAAGAGAAATTAACATTGGACATTAGAAGACCCCATGGAGCAGACAGCAAGACAAAGACACAGGTAGCAGCTTGTCAGGACCACCTGATGGCTGCTTCCATTATGAGTGGAAAGCGAGAGCTGGAGTTTTTCCATTTTCTCTGCAGGATTCAATTTGTGACTAATGTTATGTCTGCTTCCCTTCTCCTGACCAAAACAAAAATGGAAACATTTGTGATAATGTTTGCATCAACTTCACATTTTGCAAACAAAATAAAGAAGATATTCCTAATAGTGGGATTGTTGCCAGTCTGCCCTCTTTTATGCCATTTTCTATAAACTAATGCACATATTACAAATGATAAAAAAAAACTCTGACATTTTATGAACCATGAACCTTCTGATGAAAAATCACAATCAGCTTCTGCTTACTTGACATTTATAAAGTCAATCCAGCTCATGATAATGACTGGATGAATTCATACTGAAATTTATTCCAGCCTCAAAACACAGAGGCATTTAGGGAGGAAGCGCCATCTGGTTCTTGTGCAAATCTTACCTGGAAGGAGAGTCTGTCCTTGCTTGGGCTGAGCATCATATCCTCCATGGGGGGGTTGCTCATCACCTCAGTCATATCTGGGACGGGCACAAACACTGGGCTGCAGAGGCGAAAGATGAGATTCAGTGAGTGTACATTTGTGCAGAGGAAATGTAAAGACTCAGGAGTTATCCGACTGGCAACAGAGACAAAATACACATTAAAAGCTTCCAATGCTGAAGTTTCAATTATGTTCTGAATTACAACAACAACAAAAAAAAGGGCCTTCACAGGATGCCATGAAATAATTGGGCCCGAACCTTCAGTGCATTCACTTCCCTGTGTTTGCTTCTACAGTTTTGTTTATTCTCTGTGCAACTTGACCACAACACACCAAAACATACAGCCCCTGATTGGCTGTTCTAATGCACTGCAAAGCTGCAGCGCTCGTCATGCCGTATGCAAAAGTTTCTAAATACAGAAAGATGTGCTCTTGCACTTGCGACCTGGAACAGTCATTGTGAGAGTGTGCTGGGGGCGTGCTGCAGTGTTTGAATTAGGAGGAACCTCATGCACTCAAGGCTTGGACAAACTTTCTATTTCAAAGTAGTTTTTTTCCCCCCCAAAAAACTCATGCCTAGAGCTTTCTAGTATTTTATGATAAAAGCAGAAAAAAAAACACTTTAAGACCAGACCCTGCACAGACTTGAGCCCTGAGACAAGATGCTGAGTGGCCTTCTCACGGTCTCTATTTAAAGCCTGGTGGTCAGTCAGTGGCCACAGGGTTGTGGTTTGTGTGTCTAAGGCTTGTTGTGCCAAAGTAAATGGAACCTGACAAGATGCTTGCATGTATGCAATCATAATAATATTTCAGGGGACTTCTTTGATACAGGATGTGTGGGCTCCAGTTGACCTAATTTTTATTTTGACAATATCGAAACCGATGAAGAGAAAATTTTCAACCTAAAATATGTTTATGTATGTTCTGAGCTTTATTCGCTTTACTTATGACTCAAAGTTGGAGACAATAAAAAAAAATAAAAAAATAAAATGAAGTACTTTTCCGATGCATAATTTGGTACACGCCACAAATCAGTTGTTGCCGTGACTGACTGCAGGCTCATACACACACCTATGGAAACACACCGTCTTTAGGGTGTGTGTTCTGTTCCAATTTTTACAAAAGTTCATATTGAGCAGGAGTGGTACTTCCCAAACAGGAAGCGCATCAGTTGAGCGTGAAAGTATTTGTGTTTATAGAAGCATAGTGCCTATATGCATGGTTAATTGTAAACAAACGTTGAAAAATATTACACACACCTCTCGAAGAATGACACCAATGCCAAAACTTTGTAGTCGTCTGCTAGGAATGCACTTCTTTCTACTCCTGTCTGACAACTGTTGAATGCAGGAAGACTTGATCTGCAGAAACATTAGCTTTTTTAAACTAGTAGGTGTGGCAAGTGTCATGAAAGTGATGCATTTCTAGTTCCAGCCAATATATTAGAGGATTTATGTTATAGCTATTTAATTTATCAGCAACCCCTTTAAAAGTCTTTTTGACATTGGCAATATGGCTCTTTGCCCAGGACAGGTCTATGTCACAGGCCACAGAAGTGCTAAGGACTGACAGGGGAAGGTGGATTCTGGATTTATCTGTCAGTTCCTCTCCAAATTGGCTATCAGTGCTTGTTTTGCACAACACAGCTTCGTGTTGTGTAAATCTTAAGTACCATGAGCAAATATAGCTCAATACTGTGATTGTGTAGCCTCGACGTTAGTTTGTATACGATTCTACATTTCTCATTAGCCAAATTAAAATCCCCATTATATCTTTTTTTAAAGAACTTAGCAGAATCAGTCTGAGTCTAATTTAGTTAATTTTATGTATATAAATCTGTCAGTTGTGGTATCATGTTTATCTTCTTCAGCACAAATCAAACCTATATCCTGTGTTGCAGTCAACAATCAAGAGCACACATTAACACGCTGTCATCCAGATCAGGGTGAATCATGTGACACGATTCACTCAATTTCAGGAGATCAATAAACCCTGAAGCAAAAGCAGGTTCAATTTTTCCATTTTTTTTTTTTTTTTTTACAACAGGTTGCAATGTGGCTGGGGAATGTTAAAAGCAAAATGCTTCCGACTGATTTTCTGCAAGTAATTGTTTCAGCACAGGCCAGATCAACAGGCTGAAACAATAGAAGGATATCCAAAAATAAAAGACCACAGCTTCATAGTCCTATGAAGTTGGGGGATGGGGGTGAATTGTAGACATCTTTGAATTCAAACTGGTCCCCAAGTGGGAGCATGCAAGAAAGGAGGACAGAGGGATGAACACTGACAGCAGGGACCTGAGGAGACAACGATGAGAGGGGAAGCGAGGGAGAGGAGAGAAAGAAAGATAAACACTCCGGCCTTGCCAGTCATATTTCTGGTCTTGGATCGTATAAACATCCTGCTCGGCTAAGAATAACAGAACATCGGCCAATAAAACATAAAGGGGCACAATGAGGAGGAAGTGGGAGTGCACAAGCGACGAGTCGACCTGAGAAGAAACAAAATGCTGTTGTGTCGTTTCAAGCATCAAGAAACGAAGGACATGACCCAAAGAGTGACACTGCATACGAGAACACATTAGGAGCTGTCAGCATTTTGATTCAATCAATGCTACTGGCCTCCAAGTTCCACAGCACCCTCGGCCTCTGTCTACATGTTCAGTCTTGCAGTAGGATGCAAGTTAAACCGTTTAACTTTGTTTTAATCGTAGGATAAAGTTAAAACAAAGTTAAACCGTAAAGAGTGGATATCCATTCAAAGAATGCATTATTCTGCATTTTGAGCCCTTTGTCCACAAATACAGCTGTTGGCTGTTGGCTTCTGACTTTTGTGACGTCACTCTAGCAAAATTGAGTCAAAAATTAGAAGAAAAAAAAAATAACCTTCATTCTCCAGATCACTTAAAATTTTAAGCATTTTTTTTCAAAGTTAGAAAAAAAATGAACATAAAGGGGCACAATGAGGAGGAAGTGGGAGGACATGTTGCATTGTAATCGACTCGACTGATCCTTAAGAGACAGGTTCTCTTGGCCACAAAAGATACATCAGGGTCTCTTGAAACCATTTCCCAGACTGTCTATTCTGGTCATACTTTTAAAACACACTTCAAGTCCCAATCATAGTTTTCCTCCAACATCTTGAGTGAAACAAGACCAAGGCAGTTCTGTGGCACCTTGTTTGTTTGTAATGGAGTTTGTCACCCGAGCAGTCTCGGCACCGATCTCTCTACAAGTGAGGAATTTGAATCCTGCATCGCCGACATCGTTTCCTCCTCAGCCACCCGGTGGTTCTCGCTACTATGATCATAAATCTTGACTTGTATGGCAGCATGGCCAAAGCTGCTGACATTCCAGGCCCGTGTGTAGTACTTCCCACTGGCAACGTTGCATTGCTTGGCAGGTACAGCTGGGAGAGACCCCCACCCTTTTCCTCAACCACCATGTTTGCCACTTTAAAACAGAGTGGATTGGACATTCTTCAGAAACATGTTGCCTTGTGCCAATCATGAATTTTGGGGTCAGATCAAACTATTGAGAAAAATCATCAGGGCTAGGCAACCAGAGTTCAAATAATGAACCCAAGCATCCCAGGTATGCTACTCAGATTAAATGCTCCTGCTATGGGGAAACGAAGCTTTCACAGAGATAAAATGATAAAAGAGAAGCATGTGCCAAGTGCAAGCAAGCAAAGATTGGAAAAAAAAAGTGTGGTTACAGTAAAGAGCTAGATTCTCGACTTCCTGATAGAGACAGGCAAGAAGCCTACTGAGGTTTTAATGGTGCTTGCAAAATGATTTCAAAGCAACTTGCACATCCTCCTGACAACAGGGGGGTGGGGAGGAAATGTTCAAGAGCACAGAAATCAACTTTCTTGCAACAAAACACAATTAAAATGGTGTTCATGAACACTCACTACCTCTAGATTTCAATGCACCTGCAGCGAGTTGAAGACGAAGGGAGAAACAGTTCTGCTTTGTACTTTTGTGCACAAAGCAGAATGAAATGGCAAAAGCGAAACGAGTGAAAAGGCACGTGAGGACGTTTTAAATCAAGCTGGTAAACAGTTTAAAAGTTTAGAGGATGGTTACAGATGGTGGTGGTGGGGGGAAATGGGGGTGGTAGTACTTTAATTTTTTTACACCTTGATCCGCGTTGCCCTGAAATTTTCCAGGTTCAGGGGCAACTCCCCGCAGAAAATCTCAAAGGAAACAAGAGTGGGTGTACAGCAACAAAGGTGGCTGATTCAGAGGGAAATCACCAAACAACGTCGACCTCAAGCACCTCTGTCGTCGTTTCCCTGCAAAGCCCCGACCGGTGCAACGCTTTCACATCCGAGCAGTTTTACTTATTCAAATACAAGAACTCGCAAAGTGGCACCCGAAAAGCCCAGACAAAACAGGTGCCATCAGAAGAGACGCGAGTACTCACCAGAATATCTGCGCTGGAAATACAGACATGAATTCACACCTGCTGTCAGTTCAGTCAAATCTGATTAATTCTCTCTAAACTATTTTTGTTTTGTTTTTTTGTTTTACTTTTTTTTTCAGTCCCTAAGCGGAAAAAAAAAAAGGACAAAAAAAGAAAGAAAAAAAAGCGAAAGTAAGTGGCGCAGTGAGTCGGACTGCCTGAACAGCGAACACGGTTCCGCCAATTGATGCGTCTGATCGGAGGAACCAGCTGTGTTCAGTATTTATCCGAGAGGCGGTGCGCTCGGTCGGACCCCGGAGACGCGCCTCCCCCTCCAACACAAGCCCCCCCAAATCCTCAATGGCAGCTCATTAACAGCGTCGGCCAATCAGAGCGCTTGTGACTCACGCACCCCCTCCTCCCCCCATCCCCAGGTCCCCGCCCCCGGCCCTGATGACGTAAGCAGTGACACAGTCTGCTCATTGGGAATGGAAGGCGAGGAGCTGCAACGTGCAATTGATTTGTAGTCTCCACGGCAACAAAATGAAAGTCTTACCCACCCCACTCCCCCGTGGATGACAAAAACACGCTGATTTGCCCGTTAGGTGATGCGTGACATTCATCCAAATGAGCAGCAGACGGATTCATTCACAAATATATTTATATTTCAAGGGCAAGTCAACGACCAGACTCAGCTGTTCAGTTGTACCTGCATGCAAAACTCAAGCACCGACACGTCACAGGCTGCCTTTGCAGTCTGTTAAATGTCGTCACAGCTTATGAAGGAATTTTTATGTTTTTTTTATTTTTATTATTATTATTTTCCGTTGCTCAGACATAGCCTACTCATGTTACTGCTGTGACCCAAAGAGCATTACTGACATACGCACTTTCAAAATTGCCCTTTCCTCTGCTCATTGCTGTACTTTTGGGCCAGGAAGCAAAGTGCTGTGCAGTTTTCAGAGCAGAGTTTTAAAAAAAGTAGGAATGCCTCTACTGCCACCTTGTGTCTGAAAGCTATTGGCGACCCTGTTGCTATAACTTGCCCTCAGTCAATATACTTGGCAGGCCAATGGCTGTTTGCTATTTCTGCTCGATAGCAAAAATTCAGCAATAGTTGCTCCAAAGCCACAACTTGTAGACTTTTTGCTACTCTAGCTGATGACCAGGTCAAACATTTTGACTGCTGTTATAAATATAAATATTATTCTGCCTACTTTTATTTGTCACCCTTTAATTTGCTCACTAGTTGACAAGTGAAACCTAAAAGTCAACCAGTTAACTAGTGCTTTTTAAGCCAGTGTTTAGGTTCCCTCAAATGACTGCTACAAATTCAAGGATTTCCCAGTTATGCATTAAGAACCAAACTCCAGGTGTGATTTTAACTTATAAGTTAAGTTAACTTATAACTTATGATAAGTTCTGACATAACATCATAAGTTATGTCATAATTTATGACATAACTTGATGTCAAGTTATGATGTCTTCATAACTTATGACATCATAAGTTATGATCGACTTTTTTTTCCAGACGTAACATGTCTCAAAAAGTCATTTTTATGTAATACCGCTCCATTTTAACAAAGAGATATTCAGTATTTACACAAGGTAGATAATCCAGTGACTTGATCAGCGTGGGTCTGAACAGCCATGTGGAAAAACGTGGAAAACAGCACATCATCCGAGTTCCTGAGTCCTCACACTGAGTACCTGCAGTTCAGAGAAGAGACTTTAAAATGCATCTCTTAGTATATTAGTCATTTAATGGCTTAGCATCAAAATATATTCAAGATCAATTGTCGTACTAATCTTCCAGTCCAGGCCACTCTGATCTTCTGGTTCTTGTCTGCAACCCCAGAGTAAGAACCAGACAGAAAATAGGCATTCATGTTTTTTTTTTTGTTTTTTTTTGCACAACAAACTTGGAAAAAAAAACTTCCAAAAAAACTACAAAACTGCTGAAACACTTAGTACCTTTAAATCGAGCCCAAAATCCATTTGCCTAGAGTTGCCTTTGATAAATAGTACCTGGAACACATAACTGATTAATACATTTGATGTATGTTTGATAATTTTTATTCTTGACAATTTTGATTGCATTTCACAAAGCATAGCTTGCTGCTTAATTCAACATGCTTGTCACATAAAGCACTTTGAATTATCTTGTTGCTGAAAAGTGCTATGCAATAAAACTTGACATGAATAATGAGCTTTAGACTTAATTTTTTAATTTGGCTTTTAGTCAACGTTTTGTAATTTAGGTTTTTTATTGACTTCATCCTAATTGGTAGTTTGAATTCAACGTTATTTGGGTTTTACTTTATGCATTTATTTTTATTTCACTGTTATGGTTAATGAATGTTTTTACTGGTTATTTAAAGCTGATGTAGATTTAATGTCATTGCATTAAAGAGTCCCATTGTTAACGCACCTCTGAGCATCAACACATGAGGAAAACCTGATCATTAAATCTTAACTGATATTCCAATAATTGTCAAATTCCTGGATGTGACTTTCTAGGGAACCGAAAGAAAACATCACTCCTCAGCAGCATCCTAAAAATTGTAAAAAAAAATGTATTTACCATTCTTTTCCGTATTCTTTAAGCCCATTTAGATTGACACTGACATGCACTCATACTACTGCTTTGATTCAAACGATGACATTTTCAAATCAGTTAACTTTAAACTTTTGCAGACGAAAACTGACCACAAGATGGCGGTCGTGTCCAAGATGTCGATGGACCAAAGCTGAGGAAAACATCACATCCGCTGGAGATGACAGAAAACAAAGGAGTTTTGTCCACAGCTTTTTTATTAACCCCGTGCCCCCTCCAAATAGCATAATCTAATAAATCAGTATTTTCATTGAAAGCTTTCAGAACTATACATTTTGAGGCTACACAACAGCAACCCCATAGAACAAATGCAAGCTGGCATAAAATATATAAGCAAAACAGAGAATATTTTGTCAATCACTTGCTTCTTCTTCTACTCTCTAATTTGCACTACTTGTCATTTCAACCGTTAAACGGATCCTTTCTCAGTTTTTCTTCTCTCCATAGGAGAGGCTGTAGCACCTTCCTACAGCAGGGAGTTGGCTGCGGTCCCCCTCTCCTACTTTTAACTTTTTACTTTTTGTTAACATAGAAAGCACTCCTACATCAGTGCTTCTGTTTTTATGATATGTTTTCTTTAATCCCAATTTGGTCATGGAAGATGGCCGCTCATGCAGATCCAGATTTTGCTGCAGGTTTCTTCCTGCGAAAGGCGAGTTTTTCCTCTCCTCTGTCACTACAGACATGCTCAGTATGATGGACTGCAGTGAAGTCAACGGAAAAGCACAAGTGATTATCTACTGTCAACACGCGTTCACACAGTAGATGCTGCAATTATACTCAGTCAGCTGAGTTTAAACTAACTTAAGTAATGAATTGAACTTTATGCAGTTTGATAACTATGATTGAATGCAATGGCTTTTCTGTAAAGTGCCCAACGACAACTGTTGTGAATAGGCACTTCATAAATAAAGTGAATTGAATTGAAAATCAACCAAAAGTCATTCTTGACCAACTGATCACCAACTGAGCTTATTATAATCAAATGGAGTTACAATTTCAGCTTGGTAAGACATAATTATTACACCTAAAATACCAACATTATTAACTACTAAAAGGATGCATTTTATTATCATTAGGATTTATATAATATTCAGCAGAATACTCTCTAGATTTTCACTAAATAAGCAAAAAAGCTATCGAAACCAATATGGCCCTATGTGAAAATGTAATTCTTCACTGCTTTACATGAATATATTTTTTCCTATACTAATTTGCTGGAAAACCAGAAGGTTTAAGAAATCCTTTAACCACAAACCAACAACACCCTTTCCAGACTTTGATGATAACTTAGGTAATCTTGCTAAAAACAAAATAAATTGCCTTTGAACTCAAGAACATCTGTGAAACATGCTTGGAATAACAACATGCTGTAGGTTTTCATCACTGAGGATCCACTCTCCCCTGTCTGACCCTCTTCTCAATTTATTTTACCTGGAAACAAAGATTGGGGAATTCCTATTTCCTGCAGCAAGTTCTCCAAAAACTATTTGCAAACCTGTGGCAGACACTTTAAATGGCAAAAGATTAGGAATGTAATCTGCCAAGTAAAGCAAAATTTAAAATTTGCTTCCTTCGTTCATGCTGAAAATGCATGCACTATCTGGTTTTCTTTTTCAGGTTTTTTGTTCAGCACTGCAGCCAAACAGCTACACATCTGGACCAGCTGGGACATCTCAGTAGAGTAGAAGAAAAACCGAGAACGTACTGATCAACACGCAAATGAACGAGGCCCTGCAGGGGACAGTGGCCGACAAGCACCCATCGAAGGAGGGTGCTTCGATGGGTTTTGGTTTCTTCTTTTTATTGCGAACACACCAAGTAGCGGTGTTTGTTTTCTTCTTTTTTTATCATTAGAAGTTCATTGCTTTTGCTGCTGTTCCGCATATCCGGGCAGAAATCCGAAGTCGAAGAGGAATCATAAATAAACAAAACAGGCTCTTAAAATACTTTTCATACTTCCACATTGGGAGCACTTCCATTTGTGGAAGTTGGAAAAACAACTTTTTTTCCACCATTCCTCTGTCTGATTAATACCATGTTCACATTGTTTTTGGTTGCATGTGTTTCCATCCATTAGTGTAAGCATGTGCAGGCACTACAACACCATCAAGCGATCGGGGGTTTTGGGTGAGTTTGTTTCTCCCTCTTGCACACAACTGAATATTTGTGCATGCACGTTGCTGGGGGATATGTGATCGCCAGGCTCGCTGCACGCCACGCTCGTTTGCAGGTGGTCTCTCCACACACACATGTGCGCGCACACACACACACACACACACACACACACACAAGGCCCAGGCAAATTTAATATTTCATAGAAGCAGAAGCACGCCCCTGGACGCCATCATTGAGTCCACATGGTCCGTCCAGAAAGCCGCTCTGTGAACACTCGACTAAAATATGCAGCCCCCACCATTCTACACCATGCTGCTCGCTCACTTGCTGGGCCTCACAATTAAAAGCTAACCACAGTCACAGATGTTGGCAGCTGTCTTTAACCCATGAGATACTTCTCTCTCGGTTCACTCTACAACTTTTTTAGTATCCAGTGCCATTAAAGCTTGAGGAGGCTCAAAAAAAAAGAAAGGAGTGGGTTTTATAGAAAGCTTCAGCCACAAACTTGGATAAAAAA